CTTAGGTGGGAGTTATTAACGATGTCACTAGCGGTTGCCACTTGAATCAACCGCCCATCAAACTCCCGACAATTGTTGAGTTTTTAAATTCCATATATTTAAGAGGTCAATCCATCAGCCAATTCTTAGCTTTCATGAAATTTCTCTTCTCAGGATTGTCCTTGAGAAAAATAGCTACCAAATGATACATGAATAGAGACATAAAAGTGCAGTTCAAGTGGGCATTCGTGGTCCTCAATTCCAGGTCCGATTTTCGGGTTTTTACACCTTAACCAGGTGGGACCAAAGAACCAGGTGGCCAAGCCTTATTGTTCACTTATATTAACACCCCGTAGGTCTCACTTGCGCAAACTCTCTATTATCCGCCGCGGTGCATTGTAATTTTCCGCGCCGCCACCATGATCATTATAGAAGCATCAATTGGATCATCGTCGTCCTCAACACAGTATCGGTTGCCATTGTTGTGGCGGTCGCCATTTTCATCATTCAAGTCGTCCGCATTACTATCAGTTCAATCCTCCATGTCCTTCCTGCCCGCATCTCCCCCATGCCCTGCATTAAATCTCTGTTAACGCTCCCAACACCGCCTGTGTCTTCATCTAAGTCACAATATCTGTGATCAGCTCTGGGCTTATCCTTTTCTGTGGCCAAATTGCGGTGTTCCTCCACTGCCTCAAGTTTACTGACTGCCACTGCCTGCCATGCCAGTTGAAATTACGGATCACGCAGTATCTGGTTGTAGTCTGTATTGAGCTGTCCATGTCCTGTACCAACACCAATTGAATAGTTTAGATACAAAAATAAGGCAATGGGACTCCGATTTTGCGGCCCAACCGAGTGCCCGCTACTTGTAGTAGGTTTATCCATTTATCGGGGAGTGAGTTCCCCCCACACTTGCGGAACAAAAGGTTTTCCGCTACAAGCTAAACCACTTGACAGGGTGCAGGTTCAGAAAAACAGGCCAGCCACCTATGTGGAACGTTATGGGGCGGTCCAAACAGCGGAGAATTATGGTAGCGGTCTCTGAAAAAGGAGAGAGGGGGGAGGGGTGACCTTGGCTGGCACAGGTACTATATTTCCCAAGTGCAGTCAGAACACAGTTTTTGAAATACCCTTAACCCCTGCTCTTCTGGTTCTCAATAATATTGATATGATACCTCACTGTCCTGTATGAAATACCGAAAAACCTCGCCAAACTCGCTATGCCGGTATTGGGGATAGGGCTTGGATGGGAGCTTTTTTACCCGGAGAAATGAAGGCAAATAACAATAACCCCTCAGAATAGCTGTATACAGGTGCCAGTACCTGCATAAAATGCTGTAATAATAATCCTGGTCTCATCGGATAAGAGAAAACAGGTTGGTCACTGGAATGAGCTTGGCTGTGTTCCCACGTATTAGCACCTGAACTCCTAGCTGCATAGCAAGTTTCGCGAGTTTCTGTGGTATGGTGCCTTGCGTTCAAAAGGAACACCATGGGAGGTGCAACACGTAACGCTCAACCCTCTAAGAAACTTGTACTATACCCTAAACACTAAACTCTTAAATTGTCTCATGTTCTATTTTCATATTTTACTTATAGGTTAGAATATTTAATATATAGTCTTAAATATATTAAATATATATACATACCTTCTCAAATTAACTCTCTTATTTTTTCACAGATTATATTAATATTATTATATATCATACTAGTAGATATTTTCATACAATCATACCTGATTCTAAATTCTCATAAAACTTTAAAAAAATAAATTTAGTTTATATTTAGTAAAGAGAAAAGTTTAAGCAACAATTACCATTATTCCAACTCAATAGCACTTGTAGCAATACGATGGTGGGACCTGTATGTCTTATGTACAAGAGTTTCATACTCAGGAGATGTATAAACAACCTGGTTACGATAGGCTTCCATGATACGGACTGTTCTGGCATGGTATTTCCAAATAAGACTATTTGGAATTGATTCTAAAGCTTCTGGTACCATCCTTTGTAATGATTCAAAGGTATACTCACACCTCTGTCTTGTATAATGCTTTGCTGCACCTCAAAAATAGTCAATAAAATTGATTTCACAATGGAAAGCAGGGTAGAGGATCATTAAATGACCTGCCTTTTCAATTGTTTCCTGTAGCTCAGACTTTTGAGCTCTGAAATCAGGTTGAGCTGCTAAGAGAGCTCGAGCACAACAGGTTCCTCCGTGTAGGCATAAAGGATTAGGTTTAGATCCTTTCTTATTTGCAGCCGGAATTGAACACTGCATTCGGAAATTTGGATTGTCCTGAGGCCATAGTCCTCACTCAATTAAAACCAGCTTCAGCCCCTTTGGTATACCGCTTGGAAGTGTCATTGACTGAAAATATCCTCCATTTAGATCTCGGTTATCAACTACCCATGTGTCCCGCATAACCTTTTTGTTTAAGCCTCCAGGTTCCAAGTTTATTTCTGAAACTCGCAAGGTATCATCTGCGTACTTTAGGTGGTTTCTGGAGTTGTCGAAAGCAAATAGTGCTTGGCAGCCAGGAAATTGTGCTTCGAAGGCAGGAATTGCTTTGTCCGTAACTTGCTGTAATAACTGTTCTCCAGTCCACCAAGTATTTCCTCCACAGGCCATAATAACACAAGCATCTCCATCACCTAGGCATCCAATTGGTGTTAAAAAGTCAGAGACATGGAGACCCTTTCTACATCCTTTTTTTCGTAGAGGCTGGTGCTCATGATGGACCCACAGATAATGCACCCCATCATTTGCATTAAATGTACATTCATCCTGGGTGACGAGTATAAGAGGCTGCAGTTTCCCAGATTCAAGATTTGGGTTCTGTACTTCTTGGAGATTCTCATCCCAAGCCAGCATCCGATCTTTGTATGAGTTCATTTGTGGAAGAAAAACAGTTTCATGATATTGCTTAACATCGGATCTTTCATGCCCATCATTATAGACTGCTTTTCGGTATTCTTTCCACTTGAATCTGAGTTTTTTCAACCACCGTGATGCTGTTGAGGAAGATATTGCCTTTTCCACCTCTCTGGTCACATTTTGGATAGATCGATTACTGACATCATCATTATTCCGTTGCCAATACTCCGTTACAGCTCTTACTAACCCCTTTGCTGTCAATTCTAAAAATTATAAATAATTAGTATACTTAATTTCAATATGTATAATTTAGTAAATAAAATTAAAATGGATTTATAGAAATAAAACTTACTCTCACCAACTGAATTGATATAGGTTCGAACCATGAGTATGGTTTCAGCATCCTCCAACATGCTAACTATCTTCTGATAGTTCCTTTTCTTAGGCTGTGCAATGTACCTCCTCTTTACCCATGTTACCTCCTGTTGCGTAATTCGGCGAGATATCTTATCAGTACTACTATCTGCCAATGCAATTCTCCGTGCAAGAATCTTCCGATTGTCTAGTACTGGTACCACTCCAGTAAAGAGGTCTAGTCCATCAAGTCCTTTTTGTTCTTGTTTGACTTGTAGCTGTAAAAACTTATAGACCTGGAGATGCCAGGTAAAATTCAATCCATAAAGTTTTGGCTGTCTACTACGTGGCTTGACAAGTTTCCATAACTCCTTTTCTGCAGATTGTAAAATCTGAAGTCTCACTGCAGAGGGGATAAGCTTGCGACCAGGTTGGTTAGGCCAAAGAGAAAGAGTATTTCTCATTTCTCCAGCTTCAATTTCTGACATTGATGGTTGAACTTGAATATGGGAATCAACAGCAGGGCCTGTATGATTCTCTGACTCAATCTCAGGCAGCTGAATGAGGGTAGCTGCAGCAGCATCACGTAACTTAGCACGATATTTACGTACTCGTAATGTATTTGCTGCAACTATGTATAATAACTTTAGAATAATTAATAGAAGAATTAGAATTCTAGAATTACCATTTTGTATTGCTGAACTACTGGGGGGAGGGCTCTGGCTGTTGGCTAGTATATTACTACTATTTGGACTCGCAGACAACTTGGCCAGCCAGATTCTCTCCCTTCGGGCATGGCTGCGGAGGGTAGATCGATTAACCAGTGGTGGTGGTATTGGTTCTGGCATTGAGGAGCTTGATGTATGAGCAGGACCTGGTCTTGAATGGAATTCTGATTCCATTATGCAAGGGAGTTGAATAGAAAATAGAGGTAGCTTGTGAGAATTTAATTGAAGATGTAAGTATCATAGGTAGACCATAGGAACTGATCTTATGTTATTGAAAATAATCTAAAATAATTATCTTATTATGAAAATAATTTACATAAAGGTTAAATTAAGACATTTAGGGTTTAGTGCTAGGTGTTTAGAGGGTTGAGCGTTACGTGTTGTACCTCCCATGGTGTTCCTTTTGAACGCAAGGCACCATATGTGAGTTGAACGTGAAAATATTGAAAACTAATTACTACCCCTAGCCCTGATCACTACAGGTATTTAAGGGTGGAATAGCATCGGGACACACTTTCCACACCGCACACCACACAAGAAACCTTGTTTGCCCACGCCCTACTCCCTCACAAACCTATCATACTCTACGCGCTCTGATCTATAACTCAAACCAGTTTTACTTTACACCGAGTTCATTTGATTTGCACTCCCAGACTTGTCCTGTTTTTTTCACTGGCGTACTAATGTTTGTTTGCCCTTTCTTTTAGTGGACTCTCCTGCCCTTGCGCTTGCTCCCTGCCCTGGGGACAATGATGACCTGGGAGACTTGCTGTGGAATCTCCCTTCGATCCCACTGGCACAGCTACCACTGGCAGATCATAGTTCTCAATCCTTTTCTGTTTGTCCACTGGGCGTTTGTTATTCATTCTGTTGCTTATTTCCACTGCTAATGATTCTTTGAAGCTCCCTTCACACAGACTATCCAATCAACCCTACGGTGGCCTTCCAGATTGTGGGACAAGAGAAGACATTACGCAGTCTCATATATCGTTGACCACGGCCCGGGCATCCGCAAAACCTCCCCTCAGTGACCTTACAGCTCCTACTACACCTCTTACTATGTCAGACTCGGTCCCTCCACCCCCATTTATTGTTACCACAAGCGTCTCCAAGGCCTACTATAAAGGCTTGCCCTCGGAACCACCCCTTATTGCTACCACCAAACCCAATCCTATTGATGCTCCAACTGGCCCTGAGGCCTATACTGTTCTGAAGGAGCTCCGGTATTTGGGAGAGCATCCCCTAGCCACTCTTTGGGACAATGGTCTTGCCGGTGAGCTTTCCTCTAGCCTGGCCTCCATGGATGTCAAATGGTCTTCCCTCGATCTCCTTCATATTCCAAATGTTGGAGAGCCGTCCGGCCCAGCCATCGTTTGGATTGGGGTAGAGCCTGGAGGACTGAGCTTCGAGGATGGTAGTAAAGTTGCTATCGATTGCCACCAACTCATCGGCACGCATGGTGTCAGGGACTACTGTGTTGAAATTCGGGAGTCGCGTGTTTCGCGGGAGGCGAGAAACAGGTTCCTCAATCCTGTCCTACAATCCAATGCCACGTTCTCTGCTCGAGACCCCTATACCGCGACCCTTGGGATTCCTATTGCACCCAAGAATCGACCTTTTGTCCAGGGAACAGGGGGCCTCTTTCTGAGTGCCGGTGGTGATGATAAAAGTATCTACCTAATCACTGCCCGGCATGTTGTTCTGCCCATTGATGATGCCAACCAAGAATATATCCGGAAAAATGAGAGTAGACGACGTGAAGAGGTTCTTGTCCTTGGCACGTCCGCTTTTGATAACAAATTTGACGCTATCACACACGAGATCAGCTGTCAACTATCTGGGATGACAGGTGCGAGGGAACGGACCCTCTTGTTCCAGGGTCGGGATGATCCGGAGTCAGTTAAGGAGTGCCTGGAGGCAGAGAAGCAGTACAAGGCAGCGGAGGAGGGGATCAGGGAACTCGATGCCTTACAAAAGGAGGTCAAGATCCACTGGGAGGGTATTGAAAACCGGGTTATCGGTGAATTGACCTGGGCACCTCCTATCATTCTCTCTACAAAACCTGACGAGTATACTCTTGACCTTGCCGTGATCAAGCTCAAGCCAGGCACCCTGGACGCCCTAAACTACCGCGGCAATACCATCAACATAGGCAACAAGATCCCCCGCATAGACTTCATGAACAAGATGTATCTCCACTATACTAGTGGAAGCTCCTTCAAATATCCTCCTGATGGTCTCGTAAAGCTGGCAGGCCAGGTTCCAGAAAGCGCCCTATTCGACCTACCCATGCGCGATGTCAACAAAGAGCCGTGCTTGATCGTCTTCAAGAATGGCGCTGCAACAGGTACCACTACTGGTCGAGCAAACCGGGTATCCTCGTACACGCGCCGCTATTTCGCGGGCAAGTACCAGGAGTCGCGAGAGTGGCCGGTTATTGCCACAGACAAGCGGTCGGTGGCCTTCTCATCTCGAGGGGACTCCGGGTCTTGCGTGGCTGATGCCTATGCCCGTGTTGGTGGTATTATTACTGGTGGTGGTGGTGCAACTGATACGTCAGATGTAACTTACGTCACCCCGATTTCATTCATCATGAAGGTCCTCCAGAAGAACAAGATCTTCAAGTATGCCCACCTGAACCCGCAGCTTACCTAGCTGGGTACTTTTGGTGGCGAAAATGTATTTGTTTTATTCCTTTTTTTTTTCTTTTTCACTTGTAACGCCATCATACCCAGGTAGGTCGGACACTGCGTTGAGGGAAGTGGAAGGGGAGCGTTGTAATGGGTGGCCGCCGCTGTACAGTCCAAGTTACCTGGGTGGACATGACTGGAGGACTAGATGAGGTGATGATTGGTTGTTAGCTGTCACTGGGGGGGGGGGGGCGAAATTGGGTTTTCTTTTCATACAATTTTTTTGTTTCTTCACGGGGATGTGTTACTTTCAAAACGATTATTAGGGGGTCGATTGGTCTGTTCAGCTGAATTCAGATAAGGTCCTGTGATTTTAGTTGCTTTTGACGCGGTTGACTCAGATACCGTTTACTGGTTTCATTGTGACGGCGGGCCTAGGTTCTGCTGACTACCGGAAATTTGTTTTTCAGTACGCTGTACGTCGATCTGTATCCAAGAATGGTGATAAATCGTGTCGGGATCTCATGCATGAAAAACTATATCTTGCATGGTGTAATAATGAGAAACTGACATATGACAGCCAAGAATGTAACAATAGTCAATCAATTATAAAGGGCAATAATGATCAATGGTCATAATCCACCCTCAGTTCAAGTTGCAAAGACCCGAGCCAGTGATATAGTATATCTGCACACAACTCCAACTCTAAAAGCTAAATACCCTGAATCACCCGGAATAGCCCAGAATTCAAGCAACTGGAAAACCAATAAACCAGCTACCTCTATAACAATTCAGAACCCTGTATTCCCAACGGGCTAGGCTACTGATAGGCGGGCCCATCCCTTAACCCGTTTTCAAACACTGGGGCTAAGGCAGTACTAGCAGAGAAGCAGGAGCAGCAACCGAGGACGTAGCTGTAAAGAGCATTAGTATTTCTCGGGGTGCGGGGGCGTAGGCGGGATTAGATTTACACAGACCCTCCTGCTTCTGTCATGGCCATGCTGATTTTTACGAACTTCGCTACATTCTGAGCACTACTCCACTTGGGATCCGCAGAGTGTTTCCTATCACAATTACTCAAATAGACTAGTGTTCAAGACTTTAAACAGAGCCGGATTTCTCAGCACTTTAAGGATAGATCCAGCTTTCCTTATTCCGCCCTAGCTATTGTCGATCGCAGTGTTAGTGCCGCGCTAAAAGTGAGTGAAATTCGGGACAGACGAAGGGATAGGCCTTAGGCAAGACCAAGGCAGGCCGCTCTGAGGATGAACCTAGCCAGATATAGGTCTAACTTCATTATGCTTATCAACATGCTCCTAAGCTTCACAAGTCCCCCGACATATCCGGGAAGGGCTCCGGACTATTAGATGGAACTCGAGAAGCATGGTCGTTACTCAGAGTACCGGTGATTCACACTACCATCAACCGCCGGTAATTCAAGACCTCCTCAATCAGGACTGCTTCCATATGACATTTGAGTCGGTAGGGTCCCCAATTCCCTCTCGAATTTTGTATTCCCTAGACATTCCATCCGCAGTGGCCTATTAGGATCATTCATCGCGTTTTAAGATGGGTGTGGAGTGCCTTTAACCGTATCCATACATGCACGGAAAACGATTTCTGCAACGTCCCTACAAACAGCCGAGTTAACACCTGCTGATTATTTAGCAAGGTTCTTGCAGGCGACCCCTCCATCTTCCAGTGGAAATGCGGCATTCCCTATTCGAAGCGTCCCGTCTCCTAAAGGCTCCCATTTGTTGCCCATGGTACCATATCATACTATGCTCATTGAGCAATACCCCCAGCGTATATGTTCGGCACAGCGAAATTGTCGGAAGAACAATAGATTCATGGAATCTTCCCGGGAATTATGCTGGTCCTTCCCGAAGTCCTTCACTACGCCATGGTAGATGCAATTGAAATTGAACCCCCTCCCCCTTCGGCACCGCCAATTAGACCCTTCTTGCCCTCCTTGTATCGCACTCGTGACCTTGTCTCCTATCCAGCTCCCGCCCCTCTATGGATCAAAGCCTCCTATAAAGACATGGTTCTAACATGCGGTCTTTGTGCCAGACATGGTACCGAGAGCAGGACCAGTAGTAAATGTCTATTTGCGGCATCCTACCTTAGAGTTGTGAGGGAAATGGAGCGGCGGTTGCGTGCTGTAGATCCGGCCAATATGAGACTCCACTGTGGCGGAAACTGGTTATAGATAAGTAAAACTATCACTTCACCGTCACGCTGAAAGTACCGATAATCATACGAATCATGGGGGAGAATAATACGTTAGCCTGACCAGTATTATTTACTCACTAACGGCCTTAGTCTCAACCCAAGCGTTGTAGAATGCGAATGATGGTTAGAAACAAGCATGGTCCAGACAATGCTCTCACCAGAGGCGCTCCCTCCAAGGTTTTCCACGACCAGATATCTATTAGAGACCTCCTTGGTGTATTCCATCATCTGGTGTTGGGCAGTGGTAGTATCAGCATTCAATTTAATGGTTGCCTTGAAAGTCCTGTGGCTGATGATGCTGAAGTGACGATACTCGGGAGAGGAGATGCCGGAGACATGACCCATGTCTAACTAGAGGTCATCAACACATATACCGAACTCCATAAAGAACCTTGCCAATTTGGAAACCCCAACTCCTTGTAGGCCTCTTTGCTGGCAAATGGTCTAGCTGCAATAAAATTCTTAAACTTGCCTTCCCGATTCCGAAAATGAGCTGAGAAAGTCTATCAAGGGCTACTCAAGCAAGGAATTCCGTTCCAGCGGGTTTATCCCCAGCCAGAGCTCCTAAATCTTAGACTCTATAGTGTGATTGAATAGTCACGTGGGTGAGGTTATCGGGGTCACGAAAGACTATGGTGGCATTGGCACCACTGATTTCAACCGTTCCATGAAATTCGCCCTAAGCAACGAAAAACGATCTTCGGCCCCCGGGGTTGAAACCCGCGCTGGAGGGGCCATGGGGAAATCCAGCCTGAAACCAAGAAATTTGTAGGTGTTTGGGTACCTGAAAACCCCTGGGGGCTCCCGTGGTGACAGTTTTCCATAGCTGTCAAAAATGTCAGAGAAACTGATCACACTCTTTTTAGCGACGGGGACTGAGAAGAGAGTTTAAAGCGGGGCGTGCAGTGCGATGAGTCGCAGGGTAAAGTATGGTGTAACATGCCGAGGCGACGAAAACTAACAAAATTTGTTTCTTGAAGGAGGATATATGGTGAAGAGAACAACGAGAAGTGTGATAACCAACCTTAGAAAACTTAAAGCAATGGGGCAGGGCCTGGCGTGTTACTGAAGTTCGTGGGCGGAGTCTGGAATGGGGACTGGGCATAAGATGAAGAAGTGGAAAGAGGGTGTGTCAAGGTGGGGGTATGAGAAGCAAGCAAAATACAAGGCACAACTGACATACGGTGCGAGGCCTAGGGAACAAGTGTGAGGGACTACTGCACTCAAAGATTCTCACTCGGCTCCTCCAATGAATTTCAGCCAAGAATTCTAGTGAGTTTGACTCCTCTCTCCAACCTCACAATCCACCTGGTTACTCTTAGAGCGTGAAAAAAAAAGGAACCGAAATGACGCTACAACAAACTCCAAATTCCTGAATCGGAATCTCACCCTAAAACCACATGCAGCTTCCACCTTCAAAAACTATGGTATATCTCATCTCTCATATACTCTCACTTCCCAGAGTCCTTCCCGAAGCCGAAAGCATGCGGCTTCTCCACAGCCCCCTTCAGAACACCAGTACCCCGCAAACTAGCGGCGTCCACTGTACTATCCTGGGCGGTTACGTATCCTACGTTATCCACTATCTTACTTCGCTCCCAAGCAGTTTCTTTTCCTTTCAGGAATGACCCCCGTTGCCCAAAAAAACAATGTGGAACCTGTGAAGTAATTATGGGTGCTAGTTGTCTTGAGGTGTCTCAAGAAACTATGAGCTACGTGGGGAAGGGCTGGCTTCCGGAAGGGGTGATTGGAGTTCAGAATGGGCTTGGGAGGAGTACTGTAGCCGACAGTTCTATTGTAAATCACCGGCACTCCAACTAACCCCTTGCCTATCTACAGCCACTCGGAGAACCGGAGACTTCTCCGGAGGTGTCTGATGTTTGTAATGCTTAGGAGGGAATTGATAAGCAGGATGGAAGGTTCTAGAGATTAATACAGATATGTATTATAGATTGATATTGCGGGGCAAGGGAAGGAAATACACGAGGGGGTAAGAAGGAAAGTAATTGGTCGACAAAGCGGGGTAGAGGGATGTCTGTAGAAGCAGAAAGAAGCTGAAAGAGGGGTAAAAAGCGGGGTCATATAGATGACCAAGGAGACCGGTCTGGATGGGCAAAGCTATGATATGAATGTATATAAAGCCCGCTGCTAGAGAGGTCATGAGGAAAAGCAAAAAAAAAGGAGAGAAAAAGAACGGAACAACAATCGGAGAAAGCATCAGAATCGAGTTACGGCCGACGGTTGGAAAAGACAAAAGCTTCCAAAGCGCTGAAGTGAGAATATACAACTTCAATTCGTTTTAAGTTCGTCCTACGGTGAGTGTTCTCTCAAGCAGGGGAACTGGAACGGAGACTGGTGGTAATTTGGTATCAGTATTGGAGGGGTAAACCCTCACGGCCACCTGCCAGCTACTAATATAACCTAGAATAATCCCTGCCAGAACTTCCTCCCATCTTGGAGAGACTGTTTGCTGCTTCTTTTTTCCTCGCTGGTGATTCGGTCTGCCATCATCCTCGGCCTCGGCTCCCATTGTTGGACTTCGATTTCTCTGAGGTAGAAATAAGTCCATTCCGACTCTTTGCCCCATTACACTTCACCCGAGTAGAGAAGTGCAAGGCTCTTCGTCACAAAAAAAAAAGCTTTTTGGCTACAACCAAGGCTCTAGGCGACCTAGCCCTGCCCTAAGAGACTCCTGCTGTGGCCCTGGCTTCCCCGAACTCACCTCCGACGTAGAGGTATCCAATTAGCCTCCCAGTCGACAAAGACCTCCCTGTCTAGGAACCTGTCCCGCAAATTTTAACTCCCGAGACTCATGCTTCCCACAAGACTTAGGTTCTCAAAATCTAAAAGTGCCCCGATATTTTTGTTCTTAATCCCCATGAAATAGCTCACAGATTCCACAGCCACCTGGACACCACAACTGGCCCATGCTCCCGTGGTCCCTGGCAATAAGTGGTCTGGATAAGGTCCTTGTGGAATCTGAGTCTACCCTGGACCTGAATTATTGTCTGAGATGAAACCCGACCTCGGGGGAAGGAAGATACAAACACCGAAATTCATCACACCGTGTGTTCAAGCTGACCCAGGACTTGGAGCATCGTGCCTTTGTTTACGTTTATTTCTTGGTGTTTGATTCTTGTGATCGGGCGGGCGGCAGTGAAGTCCCTCGGCGGTGGGTGAGCATTTGCTATCCCTCCATGCCCGCGCCCGGCCGCTCAGGCGAGGAGTGTTCACTATACCGAATGTCATCCCTCCGCTCCAATCATAACTTCTACTACCCCCTGATTCCCACTGACAGTAGCGTTAGCTATGTTGGCAGTCTACGGTCTTGGGATCGGCATCTTTTGGCTACAACAACAACCATACAACCCTGTCATTTCCATCCCCTGCCCCCGAGAATGATGGTTGGGCATACCGAGTGCCGAGCAGAGCAGGACTAATATCCGCTCCCGTTAAAAGCACCTTCACTGTCCTCTGATTCCTGTGCCTACCCGGGAGAGTGCCGTTTGGCCATATGTTGTGTCTGGCTTGTCGGGCCTAAGTTACTATCCTCGCCTTTCACGAGCAACCCCCACCACCTTGTGGCGTCTTCTGATAGCTTTCTTATTCAACACTTCCGGGTTTCATACAGCGGATGCAATTTCCAGTTCACCGGACAACACGGAACCTTTATTGGTACGAACAATAACGAGAGAGAGAAAAATGGAATCAAAGAACAAGGAACGACAATAGGATTGTGTACAGTAACGAGTGACTGGGGCAATATAACTGAAGACAAAGTGGAGGGACAGTGAATGCCATAATGTAAGAAAAAACATAGAAATTCGACAGCCTTATATCGTTCTCAACAGAAAGTCCACTCCCCTAGCGGACATCCAGCGTATGGGAAATCCCTCTCCTACTCTGCCGTACTTGGCAAGCCATATTCTGCTGGCTTCGTCGGAGCACTGTGGAGGTATGAGCACCATGGCTGCCGGTATAACTCCGCCACCGGTCTTGGGCACTGTCCATTACCGCGGGTGCAGTGCGTTACCAACGGCACAGCCCATCGCCGAGGGTATGGTATTTGACAGCCGTCTGTATTGGTGTTTTATTGTAGGTAGAACGGTATCCAATACTATCGCACTAGGTATGCAGGGTCGGTATGAGGGTTGGTCTGGCGCTAGCCGTGGTGGTGCGTCCTTAAGACTATGGCGTGAATCAGAATGGTTGCAGGTATGTTTTCCATCCTCCGGGAACAGGAAACCGTATATGTGGTCAGCAGTCGAGAACGATGATTGTCTAACATTTCTTAGATGAGAGCTATATTCCTCATGCTATTGATCGCACTAGTATCCCTGCCCATCCTCTCTGATCTAGTAGGAACCATCTCCACAATCCCCAGAAATGGAGTCCCGTAAATCCCTTGGGTCCTCCTGCCCCCCAAACGGATTTTCTGGGTATTGAGGTGGGAGCCTACCAGTGCAATTGGGTATGCATCTCGGGTGGCATAACAGCATACTAGGGGTGAATGTGCGCTACATATTCCAGAGGATTTGCGGTCACCGCTATCTGATACAGGTGGGCCAGTGGTATTTTGCGACTGTGCACCCGACGGTGAATTCCCGAAAAAATGTTCCCTTTCGTGTGACGTTCTCCAGGTTTGCTCGGGGGTGAGATGCTGGTGCTGGTATCTTATGGCCAGGGAAAAGTAGGGTCCTATTTCGATAAGACAATTCCATTCCGTTTCCCAATGTAAATCACTGTTTTCTTCCGTTCTGAAGGCGCTAAGATAACCCCTTCTCTAGCTCAAATCATTCATGAACGGAACAGTCGACCGGCCTACCGTTCCCGCCAAACAGGTCCTAAAAGTTGCCGATTTCGGGAGAGCGCGGCACGCTACCTGCCGTAGTCCCCGGTAAGGGCACTGGCGTTTAGCCATGCCGAACACCACATCCTCTATTTCAATACCCTTACGCCCAGTTCGACAAGATGCGAAACACACTTCCCTTCCGTGGACCCGAGTACCGTAGCTTGGGGGATAAAACTCTCACGATATTCGTGCTGACCGTGAACTGCGGAGAACGGGGTCTAATGGAAATTTTTAAGCTCATCATTAGCAGAGAAAAAATGGATGGCAGGATAACCCTGGACTTAACTTCATTTGGAAAAGGAAATCAACGGAAGCTAACAATTTTAAAGGCATTGGATTTCTGAGACTTCTCGTGCAGTCTACTAAAAGGCCTCGTCTTATTCATACCCATCATACTTCGGTTTCCTAGTGGTCGTTTTCTAGTAACCAGTCTTCTCTATTCGATACGAACCGGTGACTTGCCCACTCAGCTATAAAGCAGGACAGCAAAACATTGCAGGAGAGCACCAGTGGGTGCGGTGGCTGTCCCAGTTGATGTCACACCAAATCTAATATGGGTAGAGCTGAGAAGGTGAGGGGGCACATATCATGTTAACGCAAAGATGGCAGATTTTATGCCAGTATTCTACGGGAGAATTTTTTATTAAAGAACTGCCCATGCAGCTATTGAAGGTGGTAACAGTAAATTATTTAGTAGATAAATTTCCATCCGGCTGCTAACAATACAAGAGCTGTATGCAATTCAGTGTTCCAATGACCCCGAGGAACTGCATTTGCGCCAGGGCTGCAATTTCGGCACCGGCCTTGAGGAAAGTTTCATATCTGGTGGCTCCTACCCTTGGGAGATCTTAAGCACATTTCAGGTTATAATTGAAGTTAGTAGTATACATCTCTTCTGAACATGCTATGCAGTTATTCTATTCTTAATACAAGTATTGGTGCTAGAAGAAGCCTGTGGGGTTGGCTGATTTTGGTGAAACCCGGGTTGTGCCGCGTGACTTTTTTCTAGCGTAAAAAAGTTTAGGTTGTGCCCACTAATTTTTTTCGGTAACGCTAGTATCGCACCAAATCGGTAAGCTCACCAGCAACGCTTTAAATTCCTTGTCCCTCTCCCTCCACCACTCCTGCTCCCCACAACCCACCACGACCTCTTCACACTGTTTTTGATTGCATCACAACCCAAGTACCAGCACTTCCTTCCATATCAACCACCGGCCATAAGAAACAATGGCTGACAAGCTGGCCCACGAAGCGGAACTCCCCCCAACCGCTTCCTCCTCCAAAAAACCGGAGTCTAATCAATCAGTCGACATTGGCTACTATCTCAATGAAGGACTAGAAGGGACTGAGCGGCAGCAATATCATGATGTCCCCTCTTTCGCACGGGCTATTAAGTCGCAGGCAGACCACTTACGTGCGGGTAACCTGATTGTGGGACAGTACGCGGTATTTTCCTCTGTGACGTCGGAGGAGCTTACGAAGCTCGAGCAAAACCGTGACACAAACCGCAAATCACTTCGGTTCCTATACCTGAACGACGTAGAGACCTTGATTGTCAAAATCACGCCAAGCAAACCCTACGAATTATCGACTAGCGATCTTGTACAGATGGTACACGAGAAGGCCATAGCAATGGGCCTTGTGAGGCAGCTTCTTGATCTGCGTGGTGCAACATTTCAAGGCGTGCGGTCTAAGAAGGAAGGAGATTCAGCACTCATACCTAGGACTCTGTCTCTCGCAACCGACTGGCCAACTGTGATCTTCGAATGCGGGCTTTCCGAATCCCTTAAACGCTTGAGGGCTGATGCAAGCTGGTGGTTGGAAAACTCTCGCGGAGCGGTGAAAATTGTACTTCTTATTTGTGTCTCCCCACAACAGCGGAAGATACACCTAGAGCAGTGGGAAACTCGCAATATACTAAATCCACAACCGAGTCGCACCGATAATAGTCCGCTGGTGACGAGACGGAGAAAGGTTCACGAGATCGATATCACCGCCCCTATTGTGACCGGATCAGCTCTTTCCCCTCCGGTTGTTGATGGGGCTCCGTTGACCCTCGATTTCGAAAAGGTCATGCTTCGCCAGCCTGGGAATGGCGAGGGGAACGTTGTTTTGACTGCTCAGGATCTCGCAGATTATGCCACTATTGTCTGGCGATCTGCACAATAAGAGGGGGCTTTGATTTGAGTAGAGTAAGTCTGGCTCCCATAACCATAAAACAAAATTCGAGCAGGGGCTTATTGTGCTAGCTAGTTACGGGGAGGGGGACAATTGGATAGCTCTTACGGATAACTGATATCCTGGACGAAGAGATGGGACCGTGCTGTTTGGTTTCTAGGAGCAAAATGGGGAGAAAAAGGGGAGTTCGAAAAACATGATGTTTGCTTTTCTTCTTCTCTTTCCTGTGTTGCATTGCCAGCATAGTTTTAAAAGCTCATGGTTAGCTAAGAAAAAAAAAGGCATTTGATAATTAGCAGCTACTCGTAGGCTTCAGTACTTGTAACATTTTTTTTTTTACCATAGACCCTCCTCTTAATTCCTCTATCAATCTGGTCACTTGCTTGATCCTTGCACATTCGTAAGTGGACCCCATTTTATACATCAACCAGGAAATCTCATCTGTCCTACTTCCCTCGGAGCCAGCCCCATTTTATATGGCAACCGCGAAACCTCATCTTTGGTAGTTCCCTCCGGAGCCATCCTCACAATCACTTTTTGCGGAGGTGCACCAACGCTGAATTTTCCCTCCCTTCTCTATACTTCTGTAATCGCTGAGGCTACAAATCACTCCGCTCCCTCTACGCAAACACCGCACCCGCCAATATCATGCCAAGCAAACCCCACGAACTATCGACCAGCGATCTTGTACAACTGGTACATGAGAAGATGAGACCAATGGGCCTTGTGAGGCAGCTTCTCGATCTGCGTGCTGCAACCTTTCAAGTCATACGGTCTAAAAAGGAAGCTGATTCATCACTCATACCCAGAACTCTTTCTCTCGCAACCGACTGGCCAACTGTAGTCTTCGAGTCCGGGTTTTCCGAATCCCTTCAACGCCTGAGGACTGATGCAAACTGGTGGCTGCGAAACTCGGGGCACGCGGTGAAAATTGTACTTCTCATTTCTGTCTCTCAATGACGCTGGAAGATACATCTAGAGCAGTGGGAAAGTCGAGATATACCAAATCCACACCCTACTCGGGCAAACAACGGTCCCCTGGTGACCAGGCCGACAAAGGTTCACGAGATCGATATCACTGGTCCTATTTTAACAGGACCGCTTCTTCTCCCACCGATTGTTAATGGATCTCCGTTGACCCTCGATTTTGCAAAACTCATGCTTCGCCAGCCTGGCCCTGGTGAAGGGAACGTTGTTTTGACCGCACAGGATCTGGCAGATCATGCTACCGTGGTCTGGGAATCTAGACGATGAGGCATGATTACGATAGGAATAGAGTAAGTCCTCCTCCCATAGCCATATGTGGGAACTGTGTTTGGGGCTTATTGTGTTAGCTAGTTTCAGAGTGGGGGGGGGGGGGGGGTTGGATAACGATTACACCTAGGTGGTATCTCAGATGAAGAGATGAGGCATGGCGGTTTGTTTTTTTGTGGAAAAATGGGAGGAAAAAGGAGGGTTCGTGAAAACCAACGTTTGCTGTTTTTTTTTTCATTTTCCGTACCCCATCTACCCCATCACTACAACAATTCTAAAAGGCTCCTATGAGGCAAAATAGTTTTTTTCCTGTATGATAATCTACAACTGTTGGTAGTTGCTTAGTCGCTGCATTCCTCCAGAGATATCTGAAAGCCTTTCCAGATGCCATCCATTGCCATCACATGTCCAAGGATGATAAGAGAGGGTTGGGTAGTGCAACATTCCCCAATGCGGCCTCCGGTACCAGCTTTTCAAACAGAGAAACTTAGGGTGAAGATACGGCCAGGCAGCGGTTATGGCTAAATGAAAGAAGTTTATGGAGGAGCCAATGAAATGGTGGGAGATTTTGGTTCCGGGGGTGATGGAGCCGGCGTGCGGGGAGGTAATATGTGTGGTTAATACCTTAGGCTAGTAGGAAGGGAGGGCTAGAGCTCAGTTTATCAGCCGTGTGGCCTAGCTCCCTATAACTTATACAACGAACACACCTTTGAAATCCTTCTTAGAAGTCGTTTGGTAGCAGGAAATCGCGACCAAACTCCGGACACTTCCAGAGACACTACGGCCTCGAGGGTAGGGAGGGTAGGGCAGAGCCAACTCTATCACTGTTGATGTCAATCAACTTGTTGGTATGGGCATGAGGAACTTTGAATCATACTGCGAGGAATGTTCGGGGCTGCGCTACTTGCCAAATATCCTCGAATTGTCTGCTGATACCATAGTTACTTGGGTTTCCACGGCCCTGGGGTTTCGAGAGGTGCTATAGATGGTTTGCGGGAAGGTTTCCTGGTGAAGGGTTCAATTTTTCCACAGTCTGGAGAAAAATATTTTGCATTCAGATAAGAGGGGTGGGGGGTTCAGAGTGATTGGCTATGAAGACTGTGCTCAGACAAAAGCGGGGGGGAGGAAGGTATATAGGCTCGCATGCTTCTCCTTCCCCTTGCTATGACTCCCATTCCAACAAAGGAAAGACAAACTTCATGGTTTCCCCTAAAGCCTTTCCGCTTTCTTTCCGTTTTCCTTCCGGTGGACCTTCGCCCATCCCCGCCGCCGAAAGGCTTTCCCTAGAGCCAAACACTGGCACGAAGGTCAAGCGCGTTCCCAGAGACTATGCGAACATGCAAACCATCGTGAGAGCCTGCCGAGAAGCACCTCGCGATATTCAACCTCCTTCTCCAAGGGTAGATAATGGGAGAAAAAAAACAATGGGTGATAGACGAGGTGTTTGGAGCGTGCTGAAGCAGAGCTTAACTGGGAAAGAACATTGCCTTATTGCGAATGCTTTTCATTGTTTACAGGCTCCCCTGCTCCGGCTGCTGTACCCAATCCTGTTTTACTACAGAGTCTTTTACGTACTGCAAAATTTGCCCATGATGGGATTGTACTCCCAGTAGTAGAGTGTGGGGTATTGAGAGCGCAGATGTGGTAGAACATAGGAATACAGGTGTGCATGGAGACATTTATGGGAAATGCATCAGTGGAAGTGTACAGGTATGTAGTGCTTGTAGGCACAGATGAGTGTGACGGTTTACCCTCCTGTGGTGCCTTCCACATATGTATTAGATAGCCAGCCACATTTCGTGGAGGGAGTGACACACTTCTCTACACCTCTGATCCCATCACAAACTGTGCACGCCCATCGCCACCATTAGGCTGTAAAGGGATTTCCCGAAGCCTTGTATGGTTCCAGAAGACTAGAGTTGGGACCAATTTTTTCACCGAAAGTGTGACAGTTGAGGATGTAACGATTTTGGTAATACCATAATCTGAGGCTAGTAACTGGGGTATATGATATTTTAAACCTTTTAACCTATTTCTCGGGAAAACTACAATAGATTATATAGCCACTGATCGTCTCAGGAGTTTTTCCTGCTCTAGACAAATGAGTGAGATTCCATGATCACACCTTAAGTTTCTCTATGTATTTATGTTTAAATTCAATTGTGCACCACTTTCCATATGCCAAGTAATTAGATACCCTATTTGGACTACTCTGGAACTATTAAAGAAAAAAAAAATTCTGATTTCTACTCTTGGGAAAATGAGTGAGATTCCATGATTGCCCTACAAGTTTTTTATGTATTCATATTTATATCCAATTATGCACCTATTTGCATATCCCAAGCTACTAGATACCCCATTTGGACTACTCTGAACTATTAAAGATAAAAAAATTCTGATTTCTACTCTTGGGAAAATGAGTGAGATTCCATGATTGCCCTATAAGTTTTTTATGTATTCATATTTATATCCAGTTATGCACCTATTTGCATATCCCAAGCTACTAGATACCCCC